CTGTTATCTCAGTTATGGCTTCCAAGTCACCCCGAAGTTGCATTCTACCCCCACGCTGGGCGCTTGGCTCTAGCCGACTTACTTCAGCCAGGCTCTCACAGCTGGCCAGGGACTGCGTACTCCTTCAAATTTAATCTGAAATCACGCAGCCCGTTTTGCAGCAGCATTGAGCTGACAGGCCATACCATGACCATATGTAATGCTACAGCAGGTATTTCAAAGACTTTTTTCAAGGCCTATTAGAGTGCGTTGCTTTACCTTTGCTATGCAGCATTTCTGCACCTGTAAAATGCACGTAACCCCTCACGCATTTTATTTTAGTACTAGTTAAGCCAATTAACGATCATCACAAAAGGTCACTTGCTACAGACAATGCGAGTCATTTCAGTCCAGAACCAAAATGTCTACGAGAAAATTAATTCCATCTTCACAAAGGAATCTTGACATCATGCAGAAAATGCAGGCTAGGGCTACGCACTGAATAACCAAGGGAAAAATAAAATATTAAACAGTCGCTTAGTACTTGAATGCCATCCACTCTGTGCACTGAACTGGACATCTGTCTCTGGAAAAGGCAGCATAGACTTCAGGTTAAAGACTTGTAATTATTATTCAGAGGAAGGGGACTGGCAGAACCAGAGCCACATCAGTAGCTTAATGTGCTCTTGCTACCTTTTTGTTTGTTTCTTTGTTTTTAAGAATTTAACTTTGAAATTTGGACATTCCTGTGTTACAATTTTCTGTGCAAAGTTTTTCCATTTTTTTCTAAGGCAAATTGGAAACAGTCCCCAGATTTCCATCAGGAGGACTCCTGTCAACGCCCCTGGGGCTCATCTGCAGCATGAGAATAATCAGCTATCACACATCTGCCTTTACCATCTTAGCTGAGTAATGGTACAGCAGCAGCAGCCTACCACCCTGTGCTGGTATTGGTAGACTGTCAACAGCACAAGATTACAGGATAGTTGGCCAATGAAGAATATGCTGGCCAAAGCAGAATGAAGAGATTCAGCAATCTCCTATTTCCATTACAAGGGTACATTTGTTCATTATCTCCCAATATTATCCACTTGCCTCCTCCCTCTCAAGAGCTGTGCACTTCTTTCCTTCCTAATCTCTCCTTGGCCAGGAAGACCAGCACTGCATGGGCTTGTCATCCTCACACCCAGACAGTACCAGATTCCTCCCTTTAAATTCCAGCTGCAGCTTCAACTAAGAGAGAAGTCCAGCCCAATTCCAGGCAGAAGTATGTCAGGACATACATATAATTCAGGAAACAAAAATCTCTACTGCACTTGTTATAGGGAGGCTTCTAATTCTTCTGAAAGTACTTCCCAACCTTTGACCGTGGCTGTCTTAAAAAAAGGCAGCCTTCTCTTCCAAGGGCTGTGGCACCACGTGCCACACTCTACACTTCCTTTACCCAATAAACGTAAGGAACGGTGCTGTTTAATCGGGTTTATAACCGAGCTGGGATGTTTGCATGGGGTTTTTTTTTAATCTTGAACGAACTTTCCAGTGGCAGACTTGCCAGCGGGTTATCATTTCACTCTCGAGAGAAATTGCTAGAATATGAAATAACACAGGTCCTTTCTCACCCCATTCTTGCTGAAAAAATATTGACAAGCTGCCTGCGGAGCTTCCCCTTGCCCCTTATAAAAACAATGTAATATTGAACCTACGTCGTTTGTTCCAGTTGTTGATTATTTTTCTTCTTCCTTGGAGGCTTCTTCTTCTTCGGCTTGTTGGCATTCTGATTATTTTGTTTGTTGTTCACACCAAAGTGTCCTGCTGATATATCGCTTTGCAGAAGGTTAACCAAGAGTGGACTTGTGAGCGTAACATCTTTATTGACAGGAAAAACAGGATTCTGCCCACAGGAAATCTGATTCCCATTCGGCGTTCCACTAAACCCCGTATTGAAAGGCAGCCCATGGCCAGAGAAATGACCCCCTGAAGCACTGCTGTTTCCTTGCATTGTTTGCATATGAGAAGGCACCATGTTTGGCTGCTGCACAGGAACATCAGGTAACATCTGCGTCAAGTTCACGTCATTATTTGTTGTAGTAGCAGCATCCCCAAGTTGCTGAGATATGTGAGGACCAGGCCCAGCGGGTCTTAAAACTTGCCCTTGAATTCCCATAACCTGAGAAGGATTACCATTCACAGGGCCTTGCTGTGCCATCATCTGCCCAGTGAACTGCACCATGTTTCCTTGCACATTTGGGGTTGGTCCTCTCATCAGCTGAGCTGGCCCCGTCATAACATTGGACTGGTTTTGAGTACTAAAAGGCTGTTTATTTCCTTGCATCTGAGTGGTCATCATCTGTTCCATCATCGAGTTTTGCTGTAACAAGACCTGGCCCTGAGGTCCCATCATCTGATTGTGTGTAGGCATCATCTGTTGTCCCTGCTGGGGAATCATCTGTTTGGGTGGGGTCATCCTTTGGGGAGAAGGACCAAGATTTTGGTTTTGTGGCGTCACCATCATTTGGCCTTGCGGCATGAGCTGAGTTCGAGAAAGTATCATCTGGTTTTGAGGGTTCAGTGATCCCTGAGCCTGAATGTTTACCATCTGTCCTTGAGAGGACACAATTTGCTGATGCATTCCCATAAGCTGAGACTGTGGTCCTTGCTGAGGCTGTCCCTGTATGTTGCCCATGTTAACTTGTGGCACCCCACTAGCACCAGCCTGCTGGTTGTTCATGTTGCCATGAAGTCCCATTAGATTGGTCTGCATCATATTTGGTGGGCCATGTGGTGCTTGCATCTGATTTTGAGGAGGTCCAGATCCTTGGCCACCTTAAACAAAAAATTGCCAGTAAGAAACTGATAGGAGTTGTATAAGAATTTCCACAACTTTTGATGCTAAGTACTCCAAAACTGTTTTCCTCCCTTTTCCAGTGAACTGGAATATCTGACCTATTTGCGGTCCTGTGATGCAATGTTTGATCCTACAGATACACGTTAGTTGCCAAAACAGAACATCATATTTCTCAAAATAAACACTTAGACTGGTACTTCCCATGTACCCCACCGCAGGAGACGCACCAGAAATTTCGTTTCAGTTGTTACCTCTAAGTAAGTTTGAAAATCTTCCATAATATCACCTAACTCAACAGAATAATTCCTAACCAACACAAGCGTCAAAGCTTGAGGTTATTTTATGATGGGCTATAAAACACACACATGTAGAGTACTGATGAAATGACATTATCGGGGTATCCATAATCCAGACAAAAGACTAATCAAATTGTTAAATGGAGACATTTGTGAACTAAAGATTGAATTTTTACAGTACTGACTGTAAGTAGACTTCCACAGCTTTCAAAGGAACTAATATTTTTTTTTTATTTTGTTGTTCTGCTTCTAAGATAACAATGCTTTTTTTTTTTTTTCCCTCTGGACAAGAAGTTCCTTTTGTGTTGTATCTTTAGCTTCCTTAGACTCCAAATTTCCATGCTACTTCCACTCAGCTTCTTAACAGATACTTCTGGATCCTAGTACCACGGTCCTAATCAGTAATAGCTGGGTTGTCTGAAAAATATGAGCAGCTTCCTGCTTTTCTTTTCCTCATTTTGCAAAACACACAGAATGGCCCTACAGCCCCAGCTAGCTAACTCCCTACGAACGCCGAGAGTTTAATGTTTTGGTATCTCTGTTACGCAAGTAAAGGTGTAACCTTCTACAAAAAAGCAAAAACCGAGGAACAGCCCATTCCAGACAGACCTGTGTGCTGCACGTTTTGGCTGGTTTGCAGCTGCGGCGCTCCGCTGTTCACCGGTGTTCCTGGAGCTGTGGAAGGCACCTGACCTTGCATGAAGTTCTGGTTGGCCTGGCCTGCAGGGAACCCTGGCGGAAGGCGCTTGGGCCTTCCTGAACACAAGAATTTTCTTATTAGTAAAAATGGAAAACAGGAAGGGAAAAGAGAGAAAATCGATAACTGGAGTATGATAGGAAGAATCCTTCTGGGTCTGTACTGCCACTTGACAGGTTTAGGCAGAAAGGGGTTTTTGCCAACATACGAAACCCAGTGGAGGCATTTGTGGTTCTGACCTGTGCAATATTCTGCCTAACAAGCTACTATGACTCAGTACAAACTAATTTAAGTGCAAAACTTGCCCTGTAGAGAAGGCGGAAAGTCCGTGTTTGAGTTTTCAGAAGCCAGAAATTAAAGTATCATAGTTTGCTGTTTTCTCCTCTACTGCATGCCGACTCTAAGCAGGGCCTTAACTTACTCCATGTACTCAAACACAAACAACTTGCATTTTTGTTACAGCAATATGCTTCTCTCAACAACAACTCTCACGGCACCACACCAGGTGCACACTCCCTAGCACTCCTTTGCACTGCTGCTGTGCGTACGCGCACTCCGAATAACGTCTCAACCCAAAGTGGGCTGAGTAACCTCGTGAGACAGCACGTCCGGGGCTCCGAACGGCTGCTCATTCAGCTGACCCTGCTATTCCCACTGCAAGAGCAAGCAGGTCTGTCAGGCCCCTACCTGGCACACTGTTCACGCTTTGACATATCAACACATCACCGCTGCCCTGGGACAGAGAACAAAACCTTCCCTACCACCGTGAGTAGCGGCAGCGGCTTTTTAACTCACGGTCAAACAGACGGTGCCACAGACCTAGAAGCAACGCCGTCCTCCCTTCGTTTCCTGACCCACAACACACAGCCAGAATTTGACCTCAGTTCCTTGTCCGGTTACAGCTTTCTTGCACACTTAATTGTATTGCTTCTCTTAATTAATCTGGTCTTAGGTTTGTAATTAACATTCAAAGATAATCAAGTTTACAGGTCAAACAATAAAACACATCTGCAGATACAGAACACAGACGTCTTGAAACACCACATCACCGGACTCCAGTTTTAGTTCTGCTAAACTTTTAGGAAAGTTTTGCATGTAGGACTGTTTGAACTGAGAAAAAAGAAGTGTCAGCTTGACCTATTCCAAATCTAATACACATTCTGATTTGCTAAATTAACTAGGTGAAACGGAAAGCGTTTGAATGTATTCATTTACACTAAACCTTTAAATGCGAATGCCTCAAAAACGAAAAAATCTGTAATTGCAACTTAGTTAACATCATGCAAGATGGCTTCAAAACTGAAAGACCCATACTTACAACTTCATTAACATATAAATTGCAGCAAAGAATAAGCATGCACAGAAGCCAGGCAAAAATCTCAGCAAGCGGAAGCAACACAGCTTGGCTGAAACCAACGGAACCCGGTCTTCTGAAACGAGCTGAGGAAGCAGCTCACGGCAGGATTACTGATTTCAGCAGTAAGGTCTACAGCGAGTCCAAATAACGTATTTTGATAGTTTATTTGAGGTGTCATTTTTAACTCTAAAAAAAGGAGGGTTTTGTTTGTAGTAGGTTTACTTAGAAAAGAAGAACACAGAGGTTATACTATGTAGAGGTCACAGCTATGCTACCTAAAGGAAATGCTTCCCAGTGGGGACATATGGCTGGTGAGGCAAAACTGTAGGAAAATGTCATTATAATAAACAACATACAACTGCTTCCAGATGGAGACAAGGTAAGACACACCACATACAGGGCACTGGCAGATCCTAAGAACAGTCTGGAAGACGAGAACCTTGAAACTGAGACAATCCATCGGAATCAAATTCATCTGAATTCAAATGAGACCCATGGTACAAACAGTGAAAACAAGAAGCTCGTCCAGATCAGCAGACCAAGAAATGGGTATTCCTTACAGCTTTTTTGACAGGTTACAGACGTACAACATCAGAACGCAAGAAACTACAATATATATATATATATATATGTGATTGTAGGTGGACAAAGAATATGGCTTATATTTTACAAGTACAGAAAGAAAGTATTTCACAGCCTTAAGCAAGGGCTTGTGTACGGGTATCTGAGAGCAGCCTTTCAAGAGAAAGATGAACAAATGAGGGAGCAGAGAGAAGTGCTACAAGTCTGGCACAGAACTACAACAAAAGGCTCAAAGGGAAAAAACACCAAGGACAAAAGAGATCTTGGGATGGACAAATGAAAGTCCTTCACTGTTGGAGAAGAATTCTAGGAGTAGTAAGTAAAAGATGTGAGTGAGGAGGTCTGAGGAGAAACCTAAGACAACACAGCCAAAGAGGAAGTTAAAACATCCCTTCACCTCTTAATTTTAGAATAGGAAGTACGATGGCATGACAATAATAGCTCTTTCATCTTTTATATGGGAAGAAGCTGATGACAAATAAAGACAGGGTCAAGAACAGACATCCACAACTTAGAAAGGAAGATGCAGAATAACGTCTCACTTCTGTAGTAGAAAATAGAAATGGTGACAGAGGAAGCTGAAGAGAGAAAGAAAATGTTCATTTGTTTTTATTACACTCTCTTTCTCAACAAAAATCCTACCCCCTTCCCAAAAAGAACAATCCCAAACCAAAACAAAAACCCCACACCATCTCTGAATATCCTGAACTTGCAACAGAAGAATCGGGAAGAGGACAACTGGCAGTCATAACCAGCAACTGCATACAGCGCTTGCTTTCTGCAGCGGCCCAGAGCCTACCCTTCGGTTGTCACTGTGACACTGCAGGTCAGAGACAGGTAGCAGAAATGAAGCGACGCCGATGCTAATTCACCCGTACCCCCTTTACACTCAATCTATGCCTTTATTCCATCTTTTAAAGGACCTTTTCAAAACTAACAGCAACATTAGTTCTAGCCATTTTATGTTTCTTCTCTTGTTAAAATAAAAGAAGGTCTCAGTACTTCTTACCTCCTAAACCAGGGTGTAAACCTTGAGGACCTTGGTTTTGCTGCTGCATCACCATGAAGCTGGGGGGCACGTTCCCCTGCTGCACCATAGGATTACGACTAGGAGAACTGACAGGCTGCTGAAATCCCTGGGGAAGCGTGCTACTCTGGGGAGGCCTTGGTCCCATCTGCTGCTGCGTCTGGTTAACTGTTGGAGATGATGCAGGAGATCCCTGCTGGAAGGAGGAGGGAGAGGAAGCAGGAGACTTGTTGGTCAGGTGGGGTTGCTGTAGTGGTGCGGGAACCCGTGAGGGCCCTCCCTGAAGGCTTTTCATTTGAGGAGCAGTAAACTGGCCAGGATTGCTCATTTGGGGAAAGTTTGAGTGAGCCTGGGAAGCTTGCTGGCTTCCAAAAGGATATGGAGGTGGAGGATGAGTAGGAGTTTGTACTGTTGCTAGAGACGGTCTTGCTTGAAGCTGCTGCTGCATTTGTCCAGGCAACGGGGCCTTTTTCCAACCCTGGTTTACTGTCAATGTACCCAGTGCTCCCTGGGTTGGAGGAGGCTGAAGTGCTCCAGAAGGAAGCTGGTTCCAGCCAGGGGGAACTGGAACCTGTGCTGGTGAAGTAAATGAAGGTCGAATACCCTGCTGTGGCTGCTGATGTGGCTGGGGAGGACGTGTCTGCAACTGCGTCTGCTGCTGTAGCTGCTGAAAGTTGGCTGAGTTCATCTGCCTGTTTACAGGAACTGACTGCATTGAATGGAGCTGGGGAGCTAAAGATCCAGATGGATGATTTTGCTGCTGGATATTTAGCCCAGATAAGAGTGGGTCCATTGCATCTATTAAAATAGTAAAGAAAAGTAACTGCTGGATATTTAGCCCAGATAAGAGTGGGTCCATTGCATCTATTAAAATATTAAAGAAAAGTAAAAAAAAAAAAAACTACTGTAGACAAAACCCACCCCAAAACAAGAAAGGGTAAATTGTTTGCTTGCATTTGCATAAAAATTCATGTTCCAGAGTTCCAATTTCTCCAACAGACAGAACAGGCAATGTACTAAAAGTTTTCACAATGTTTGGGAATCCTGAGAAGCCAGGTCTTATCCATTTACAACCTCTACAATTAAGCACAATAGCTACACAGCTCTTGCTGCTACAGGCTAATGTAAGCCTTCTACAGTTAGAATCATAGAATCACAGAGTGTCTCGGGTTGGAAGGGACCCACAAGGACCACCGAGTCCAACTCCCTGCTCCTCGCAGGACTACCTGACACTAAACCCTATCACCGAGAACGTCGTCCAGATGCTCCTTCAGCTCTGACCGGCTGGGTGCCGTCACCGCTTCCCTGGGGAGCCTGTTCCAGGGACCGGCCACCCTCTCCGTGAAGAACCTTTTCCTCCTGTCCAATCTGAACTGCCCCTGACGCAGCTTCGTTCCCTCTCCTCGTGTCCTGTCGCTGGTCACCAGAGAGCGGAGATCAGCACCTCCCCCCAGTGCCCCCCTTGAGGAAGGTGCAGACGGCGATGGGGTCACCCCTCAGCCTTCTCTTCTCCAAGCTGAACCAGCCCAGTGACCTCAGCCGCTCCTCCCGAGTCCTGCCCTCGAGACCCTTCCCCATCCTGGCCACCCTCCCCTGGACACGCTCCCATAGCTTGATGCCCTTCGTGTCCTGAGGCCCCCAAAGCTGCACCCAGTGCTGGCGGTGGGGCCGCACCAGTGCAGTGCGGAGCGGGACGATCCCCTGCCCTGACCGGCGGGCGATGCTGGGCTTGGTGCACCCAGGACACGGCCGGCCCTTTGGCTGCCAGGGCACGCTGGGGACTCCTGGTCAGCTGGCCATCGACCCAGACCCCCAGAGCTCCTTCCGCGGGGCTGCTCCCCAGCTTCTTGCCCCCCAGTTTGTACATATAACCCACTTGTTGGGGCTATTATCCCTAGCAGTTAAAAAAGTGGCATAACAAGGAATTAAGGTAGTATAATAAACTAATATTGCCAGAATACTTAAAATATTTATGAAAAATGCTGTCCATAAGAATAAATACTGCAGAGATCTACAGAAGTTGGCAAGTACTACCACCATCTTATGGAGGGACAAGTAATAAACTCCTCTCTCTTTCTGTAGTCCCAAAATGCAAGTAACTTGTACTGGCAGAACTGTGAAGAATAAACCCCTAAAAACTCACCCCCCCAGATCCTCAGTCCTTAAACTCCCAGGCTACCTACCCCTCCCGAAGCGCACTCGTGCTCAGTCTGGTGCATGTGCTTCCTGCCAGCCACACCAGCCTCCTCCATCCAGCCCCCCTCTGACTGCACCTGAACACCAAGCTCAGTCACAACAGTTCTACTGCAAAAATACCACTGCCGCTGCTCAACACATCTGAACAAAGCACCAAGCAAGCTGATGACTTGTTAGGCACCCAAGTTATCTGAAAAGTTTTGCCAGCCTAACAGGGGCAGGGAGGGTTCCACAGAAAGAGCAACTCCCAGAAAGGGCAGGGGAAATGCGCCAGAACCATTCCCGAGTACTCTTACGAGCACACGGTCAAGCCTGTGAGCTGGAGAATAAAAACTGAAGCACATTTTCAGGTTAGTACTGTGACTAAGTGTTACCACCTGGCTGTGAGGAAGGCCGAGGTGTTCTTGGCTGCAGCTCAGCACTAGCACCACTCGCCACCATAGAGGAGGGCACATTTCCACTCTGGGACATCATGACAGCCGCAGCATTGCTCATTCTTATTAAACCTTCAAAAATAAAAATGAATATTATCAAGTGTTGCAGTCTTTACACAGAGAAGAATTTTAGATTATTTTTTTTTACAAGAAAAAATTGTATTTGTTAATAAAAAATTGCGTTAGACTAAGAATTGTTCATCCGAAATGACCTGAGGACACATATCTCTGCCTGAAAGGTTGGATTCCCTGTTAGAAAGCAAACAAGGTCATGCTGAAGCTTTTCCTGTAGCACCAAACCTTTAAAAAGGCTACAGAAGGAAACATCACCGACTCCTGACTTCTTTGTGCCTGACTTGCCACTACAGTCCCCGAGTGCCAAGACTATATCAAGGCTCTACAGGTACTCAGATTTTTACAAAATCTGATAGAAAGTAACTGAGGTGTTGTAGGAGAGAAACATTTCCATGTTGCACTTCCACGGGCTGCTGTTTTATAAAATGGCTTATACTGTTGAGCTGTTGGTGATGTTGCAATATTTATACTGTTTACCTGCAGAGAGGAAACGAAGCTCACGATCGTCACAGTGCAGATTAGAGCAGCCACTTTCAGAGTAAACTTTTCTTTAAATGTTTTACATTCCTTGTTAAACACAATGGTTTAATTACAGTTTAATCAGGGTTCTACAGAGGTGAAATGTTCTCTCCATTCCTTCTCACCAACAGCCACACACGCATGTTACATGAACTATGACAAAAAACGCTCCCGGTTTTTTAAATTGCTTTAAATCCTGTTTACTCAGATAATAATTAGTTTATTTTGCCTTATGATTCAGCTATTAAAATAGATTACGTAGTAGCTTTCTTTTAACTCTTCATAAAATCTGACTTTTATAGTTAAACATTACTTACCATGCACACACAATGCTGTAAAACGCAGAGTTTCATAAAACTACACCTCTCCACAAAAATTAATTCCTATGATGATATCTCAAACGTTTCTCAGAAAATAGAGACTAACAATGACAGTGTCCTGTCCTTCCCCTAATTATAATGGATTTAAACTAAAACAGTTTATTATTGTACACTGAATAAAGGCTCACGCTCTTTTTCGTAAATGTAGCCAAACAGAAAACTGTGATGATCTGCGCACGTCAAAGTGAATTCACTATACCACACTCATCTGCTTTAAGTGTTTATGTAAAAAAAAAAAAATAAAGATCCAAAGCACCAAAATGAAACAAAGCCCCAAACCACCTCAAATCCCCCAAAAAACCCCAAACCAAACCAGTCTGCCCCACCCAAACCACTCAAACATTTGTGGGACAAAATGCAGCCAACTATTCAGTTTACATAATATGAGGCACAGTCTGGCAGTACAGAAACACAAACACACATTAACCAAAATGGCAAATGTAATTCTGCAAACAATAGTTGCTATCATCAGTGAAATTTTATGATTAGCTTAGCAACAGATTTCAAAGTGTATAAAGCTAAAGCAATAAAATCCGGAGGGATTTACCTTGTCCCCCCTGCATGGGAAACGCTGTTTCCATTCGCACCGAGCTGCCCGCTCCCAGGGGCCCATTGATTCGGACATCCTGGCTTCTGTTCTGAGCTAACGCTAAATTGATAGCGCCTTCCCCTGCAAGTAAGGCACAGTGTGGGTGAACGGAACCATACACAGAAAAGCAGAACACAGAGATTTTCAGAAGGACATTTAAAAGATGTCAAGGAAGGAACAACAAATTTTACCTATAATGCCCCCTTTCGAAGGACAGTTCTGCACCACACTACCCGTATCTTCTGGATTTCAATTTTAAGAAGAGCAAATACCATGACAAGCATTAAATGCCCTTGGTTTCATCCTGACTGTGCTCTTGGACAGTTGTCCAGAACAGATATCTTAAATCGTGAAATCCACTGAAAACTTGTTTTTAAGAAAGCCTCACAAGAAACATGTAGGGGGAAAAAACCAAACTTACAGCACACTTTGCTAGCTAACACTCAAAAAACATTTTTCAGGGGTTTTTCTGATGCTCAGAGGATTTTCAGCTATCATTTCTATTAAATGTATTCTTGAAAGAATAAAAGTCTTGAGCTACCTTTTCACTGAAGTCATTCTCCAAATTACTAAATTAGAAGATTTACAACATTAACCAAGTACACAAAATCACTTGCTGAGTATACTTAAATTTAGCTTAGGGCCTTTGGAGGCAAATTAGGTGTGAAATACCTTCAATCTGAACTGAGAGAATTCCCAGGTCACGAAGCTGTTGGTTGTTATTCTGAGCCAGAATTCGCAGCCGCTCAGCAGCTTCACGGGGTATGTTGAAGGTGACGCGGACACTGTTCCAAGGCTCTATCTTCTGCAGTTTTAACTTGTCAGATTCTTAAAAGAAAAATGGTCAGAGTCAGCACAAAGGCAGTTTTCAAACACATGTGATGAAATGACATGGTAAAAAAACACAGCTGAAAAAACTGAAACATTTATTTGTCTCTGAAAATCACCAGTGGTTAGTCTCAGGTACCAGCTTCTCCAGCACCAGCGTACAGTGATGGATACCACCAAACCACTTCAGGAATTTTCCAAAAATTAGCAATATAAAAACTAGCCAACCGATAACCAACACAACAGCCAACAAAATCTCTTGATTGTATTACTCAAAAATTGAAATATTCCATGGATAAACTACTTTGGAAAGATAGGAAAATATCTAATGAACCAGATTTAGTAAATCTGTTCGTGAACCAGAAGGACGCGTGAAAAAAAAAGACTACAAGAATTAAACCCTCATTCTTGAAATATTTACTCTACAAATGCTTGTCACACCATCTTTTTTGCTTTTTTAGGCCAGTGCCAACAGAGTCCTTGCAGTATTTCATCAATTTCCACCATATTATTTACTTTTTCTGAATATCCATGTTCAATCCACTGCAAAAAAGCGTATTAAAATTGTGCAAAATATTTAATTGCAGGTTTTCTGAAAACCTACTCTGCATAAGAGTGTTTCTATATAGATCAGTTGTTTTAAAAGTAATAGATGTGAATTAGCAAAAAGCTAGGGCAGTCATGTTGGACATATTTAGCTGAAGCGGTACCCAACTAAATTATTGCTGCGAAAAGCATTTAAGGATAATTAAAAATATGTTCCTTATAAAGGTTTATAAGCTTCCAGTTTCTAGCTTTCAGAAAAGGAAGTCCCTTTGAAAACAGTCAACATTGGCCCAAATTATCACAGCCAGTTCTTCCACCATAACATCAGATTTACTAAAAGTTTGCTAACTTGTTAACTCTGAAGTACGTGTCATTTAAGAATGCCAATAACCCATTCCTATTTCGGAATCTCTTGTCCTTAACTAAATCATCAAGTCCCTTCTGCTGCTACAGTAATGGTACTATTAAATTCATCCTCTTTCTACCTATAAACATATTTTTGGCTGGAAACGTGACAGGAGTAGTTTTAAAACCTCCTTTTGTGTAGGTTTGAACAGCCCTATATTTACTGTTATTAGTGTTCCAACATTCTACAGATAAAAATTGCACTATCAGTTTCAGTATTTCCAGGTACCCGAGTACCTGAGCCTCTCATTTTTCAGACATTGCATCTGCTAAGTCTAAACCAATGTTATTTACTAACTCGACATTCTGAGTATCATATTTTACTCTGAATCAGTTTAAAAAACTTGTCACGCTGATAATTTTCAAATTAATTTGACATTGATTTTAAAAAGTTGCTTTCTGCTTTCTCAGTTGAGCTCTGAATCGTGTTTATTAATCCTGCCATTAATATTTACAACAAACCCAGCATGCAGATGCCCCCGTATAACAAAGGCAGCTCCGTACAGCTACAGATCAGACTTCTTTCCATTCAAAAACTACGCAAGCCATCTACGGTATCAACACACACCCTTTTACACCAGTGACTATCTGTTAGTTTTATGTCTGCTTCCAACTGCTCATAAGATACAGCTCAAAGCAGTGGTCATTCTTCACAGCATTTTTGTCTTATCCCAGCATTTCATCTCCCCAAGGGATAACGACAAGGGCCCCAACAACTGACGTCAGACTCAACTGACTACGGCTGGACAAAATGGGAAGAAAAGAACAAAGTGACAAAGAAATTCAGACTGGTTATTCAGAAACCATAGGTTATTTTTCTGAAAAGGTATTTTACATTCTTAAAAATCAAGCAATGCAATCAACATTTTGAAGTGTAACCTAGAAAATTAGTTTTGTTTAAACACAAAGACTACCCGCCTGATGAAGAAAGGTGGGTTCTGCATCGTACGGTGCGATTTCAAAAGCCCATGCAACAGAAGAGGAGTGTGCTAGCAGGGTGCCCTATAGCTGTCAGGAAAAGCTTGGTTCACCACCAGCAGAAAGAGGGAGAGGGAGAGCGTATGGGCAGTTATGGTGCTTTTAGACTGCAGTTACATGACACCAGGCCAAGTCAGACCAGCGCTGCTGCAGTCCCAGTCTCCAAGGCTCTTCTGCTTATGTGTTCCTGCCACCGCACTTACGGCAACCACCTGGCTTTACCTGTTTCTATAGCAAACGGCACTAATGGCGAGAAGCGAAGCCGTTACCCTGACCGTTCAGGTACCACCAGATGAGGGGCATTGCTGGGGAAACTGGCAGTGGGGAGGGAGTGTGTCGCTGACCCAACACACTGACCCAAACCATCACAACGCCGCACCCCCAGCAAGGGAGGGCCGTCTGTGGACAACGATTGTGCTTGTAGAAGCAGGACTATGTAACGGAGCAGCTACAAGTAATCACCGTCAGACCCTCTGCAAAGACGCTCAGCCAGTGGGCAGATGTCTTTTTCCAGATCTAGATGTACTGGTAAATACGTTATTGTCCCCAAAGCCGTTATCACTCGCTAGCTCCACAGCTGTCCCCAGACCAGGTGGGCATACAGGGGTACGTGAGTGCACTCCATGTCCTCCATCAGAAAAAAAAATTAAAAATCAGGTAGGGCAGGTCAACGTAGCGGCAACCAGGCAGTAACACCTTGAACTGACACAGTTTCTTGAGAGTGAACCTATTCTCAGATGAACTGCAGTGGCTGAAACTGGATGGGTTTGGCAGTAAAACACCTTCTGTGTGGACAACCCTGGTTTCCTTTTGATGTAAGAGAGCGGCGTGTAATGGAGGGAAATGAAACAGAAAAAACCAAGTAAAACATGGGAACTGAGTAGGAATAAATGAACTCACTAATGAAATCAGTTTTAAACAGTAACACAACTGCAGAAACTTGTACTCCGTGTCTCTGAGAAGAACTCCCAAGTTCACTACGAATAACCCCACCAAATCTCATTACAAACAACGTAACTCGAAAACAATATAACCTATTTCTTTCTACAAGCACCCTGACTACATAAACAAACATTTTAAGGACAACTGAAAAATGACAAGAAGGTACATTACCCATGTGTAACAGGCCAGGCACATTCTCCAATATGACGTCTAGTTTCTGCTCAAAGTCTCTGTCACCTATATTTCCCTTAAAAGCTAGAAAGATCGTGGAATCCTCAGGAGCAGCCTCCTGTTTCAGTTCATCTTCCTCCAGTCCTGAATCAAAATCCACCTCTAAGTCTTCCATAGCTGAGGAGTACAAGGAGGCACATGTATCCTTTAAGTTCGGTAGGTCATCCAAAACCATTGTTTCCAACAATGGGATCCTGTCAGACGTTAAGATGATGCTTGGAAGGGAAAAAAAGAATCATACTAAGTATAGTAGTAAGTGTGTAAAGACATTATCAACTGTTTTCAACGGCACATTAGATGATTGACAGAAAAACCTACCAGGTGACCCAATGCTAGGGTCTGTGTGACAAACTGGGTGACTTTGCAAACCATGGCCATTGCAGTCTCCAAGCTGTTGGGCCACTAGAACAAACAGAATTGGTTTCCTGACAGAATCCTCCTGCACGTGACTTGAGAAGTATTCCAGCTGACCTAAACACCCCCCTGTGGGATCCCCTTTTTTTTTAAAAAAAAAAAAAAAAAAGAAAGAAAAGAAAATCAATTACATTCATTTCCATATCGTGCAGACGCCAAGCAAGCACCCAGTAACCCAGGACCAATTCTGCAGTGCCGGACTGCCAGGAAATTATAAGACTTACAGCAGCACTTTAATTATAGAAAGAGGAAAACCCACCAAATTTAGTTCTAGCGACTGCAGATGCAGTAGGCACTCCTCTGTCCAGCAAAGCAGTTGGAAAGCCATAGCACATTTTTACCAGGAGAAATTTAGCATTTGACAAATATTTTACTGGCATCCAGGGAAATCTCAGGCATACTATGCCTCCTTTCTCAAAGTCTTGTAAAGATCTAGGTATTTTCAGTTGCTTATGCACGTTACGACCTGAAATTTGCCCCCCCTGTGCTGCTCCACAACTCCCCCCATGTCCCCGTAGAGCTTGGATAAGAATTCATTCAGTATATCGAGTCACACACCTGGTGTTTTTTAACTTTATAAAACATCTAGGCTTTGCGATACATTTTACTTGACATTAGGACAGTAATCTAAGCTGTCATCTGTACAGAAGTACAGCCTACCATAAAAGTCACCCCTACAACTACGGTGAACAATACCAATATTTAGTTCAGATACACATTTTTCGAAGCCAACACAAGCCGTCACGAGGGCTACGGTGCTAACTCCTCCAGGCGAGACCTCCATTCTCACACTCAGCGCTTTGCAAGTGTTGCTAAATGACTAAAACCGTCTACACCAACAACCAAAGCTGCTGTCATACCCAAGCAGGGGACCTGTTCCTGACCACCGCTGCCAGAAACAAATCTATTCAACAGCCAGGACTATCAAGACCTCGTAACTCCAAAGCTGTTGGTATTCAGAACAAACCACCAAAAATGTTTCTTTTGGGACAACGTATCCTTGAATAAAATACAGATTGGGGTTTTGGCCGAGGTTCAAGTTCCCAACACAAATTAAAAGCACAGCTCTGAGATTAAAGGTGAGCTGCAGATACTGGCCAGAGAACAGCCTTTTCTAATAAAAAAGGTAACGATGTTAGACAAGCTTAGATTCAGCTCTATGTTGTTTGCACGCTCTCACAACTCTGCTGAAAGGACAGTATTACACATGGAAAAACAAGGACTCGGCAGTCACAAAATGCCCTCAGCTTTTGGTCAGGTCTCTACGCGCACACTCACTGTCTGTGATTTCACAAAATACGATTTTTTTTTTCCTCCCTTGCAACCCTACATCACGCTAGGCAGGCTAAATGGCATTAATGAATAATCACCTATTTCACATATAGTTAATCCCTTCGTACTGCAGCGCCAGCCCTTCGTTCTCACACACGGCTCAAATCTCAGATTAAAACCAAAGCTACTTTTGTCTCACAAGCTCTTCTGCAGTCCTGCAACAGGAACTAAGTAAAAATGTTGCACGGTCACAGATCTATTTTCATAGTGCTTGCATAAGTTACTTATTATTACCATGAAAATTTTAAAGATGGGGAATAGGGACAAAAATTTTAAAAATTCATTACCAGGTGAACATGGAGGCAACTAAATCTTCTTTTTTTTCCCCAGACTCCTTGCTGCTCAGCTCCGTATCTAAATTGCAGGTCTGAGTGTTGAGCACTTCCATTAAGTCAAACTACTCAGTTTCACTTCAGGTGCCCAGAAAACGAGAATGACAATTAATAACCACCTGTGAAAAGCTGTTTTAATTGATTTTCACACACAATTTCTTGGACAGGGAACTTCCTTACCAGAGCTGGCTTTACACCAACCAGGAGAGACTCCCTTCTCCTTCTGCATTCCTACCTCCTTCGTTACCCATACACTGGGTTCAGGGAGAAAAGAGCTTGGAGCCCTACACAAGTAATCTTTCTAATGATCAAGCACAGTCATTCTGTGCACTGAATGAGGTAAGCATCCTGTGAAATATAAGCACTATATTTTGAAGAAAATTACATGGAGAATTATTTATCTGAAAATCTTGAGTCAGTTTTTCAGGGAGAGAGATCTCATCTCAAGATGCAGGCTCTGACGTATTGAAAACCCACAATTCCTTGGAGGGGACAGTGTGTTCCACATGCAGCAAGAAACATGAGTATTTCTGACAATCCCTGCCACCAAAGACAGATATTTCTTCTGTAAGAACACAAACTTTTCAAATCTTTCTTTTTAATGGAGATGTCTGAAGCACCCATCTCCTCCACGTAAGAGCAGAAGACCCCCAGACTGCTCAAACCGCGGTTTTAAAGACTTCCTGAAAACGCTGCAGCTTGGACCAGGTTCCACGAACCTTGCCTCAACATGCCAAAATCCAACAGGATTTGTTGAAACAATGGCCCTTCATGAACACTACTAAAACATAGATCGCTAAATCACAAAGGGCCACAGGCCTTTTTTTATTTGACTCAGAAAATCATAGGACTGCAGGGAAAGCTTGAGATAAGAAAAAACAAAACAGGATTGAGCTTTAATTTTTACTTTCTGGATAAGAACGTGTAGCTACAGCTCCCTTTGTAATTTTTCTTCACGTTATGCTCCCCAATGATCTCCCCTCTCTCCCTCTCACACAGGCAGTTTAGTCCGTTCCTATATTCAGGTATAATTCATCTCAAGCACGACAGGAGGAAGTAATGATTTGCGAAATGCTCCTCTTCAGGCAGAGCACAGCACGCCGTCCATCTCAAAACAAATGAATCCCAGCTGCATCCCTCGTCCTAACAGATTCTGTAATCTCCTGTTATAGGGTTGACTTCCATAAATCACGAGCCAGCATGTGACCACAATTAGCACTCAACACTCTTCCACAGACACACAAAAGGCCTTTAGCACAAGCACACACAGGTAAAACTCTGGCTGTTCAACAATGCCTGTAAACTAACCGAACCCCCAGCAGGCTACAGGGTATCTCTGACACGCAAGAGCCGTACCTGAACCGATCTGCACAACCACAGCAGATGTCATGAACTTGAACATTCACGCTCTCCCGGCAGCACAAAGAGGTCTCTGAATGTCATCCTCCGTGCAAAGAACACGCGTGGCCTCCTTCCTGCCCCTGCACCCTGCTGTTCTAGAGCTTCCAATTTAGTATTTCCCATTACACAATTGTTTCTGGGAAGTCAGAGCAAGTCCAGTGCTACCACGTGGCAACCATCTACCCATGAGCCTGGCCTGGGATGGGCTACAGCAGCATGACAAGTATTACACCTGTTTCTAATAAAGTTAGTCTTATTCAGTATACTCTAATTATTAAAAATACATAACTGAAGTATGAAAGGCAGGGATAAACAGCCAGATAACAGACAAATAATGAAAATGCACCTGTAGTGTTGTGTTGGGGTAGGTGGTGGCAGGGGACAGCCCATGAAGACCAAAATGTCCAAAGTGAAGGACACAGGGCACACCCAGGGCCTGCTGGGGACTGGAGCTCCCGGGTACACTTAGCATGAAACAACTGATCGACCAAAACGTGCAAGACTGAGGCTATCCAGAGGAAAATTCCCGTAGGATACAGCGATGCCACAGTCTAGAGCTGGGCTGACAGACAGCTGGGTCCCACCGCACACCACGGGGAACACAGCAGGCAGTCTGTCATGCCATGCGCTGTCCTCACCCACGGCCCCGACAGCGAGAGGAAGCCGGCACGACAAATGCTTAGAAAATCCCGTCCAGTCCCTGGGAGAGACGGGATTAGAGCAAAATCCGAAACAGCCAGTTGTCGCTGGCTGGGGAGCAGCTGAGCGCCAGACAGCCAGCGGGCCCTGCCGTGCCGGCACCGCCAGATGAAGTGCTGGTCTTGGGAGCTGAAAAAATACAGAGAAAGCAAAAAATCCAACCCCTTGTATATTTGTATCCTCATCCCAAGACCTGCTCAGCTGCTCCAAACTTAAGGCTAGGTCAATCTGTTTCTTGAACAGAAGCTGAAACCTCTTGTGTTGCTTTACTCGAACCAACGCACTACACAAAGCGAGTAAACCAAAGCCAAGCTTCGTCCGAGGTTCGCTGCCGCACAGCCTATTGATTTACACGCTGTTTATACATTTCAGGCAACTCCGAATAAACACTTTCACAGCTGATGTCACACCAGAACACGCACCCTCTCAAAACAAATACACAGGGAGCCCAATTAAATAAGAAGTACTAAAATCCTGCTCCATGTCTGAAAAAGTACTCTTCCAAATGACACAAAAGATTGGAAAGGGTAAGAGCAGAAGGAAGGACGGACCGATATCCTTCACCAGCCGACAGCAGTGAGCACTGAGCAGGGTTCTCATCCTCACACTGACCATTATTTAAAGCTGCAGTAGGGAAGAGGAAGAAAAATCAGTCCAGAAGTGAGACTACAATCAAGTGCCTTAGGGAATCCAGAACTGAGAGTGAGGAGAAAAAGTCTTTGAAAGCAGCAGCAACATAATTTCCGTAGGACACAGAACCCTCACTGCTTCTGCCCTCATTGAAAAATGGTTTTCAAGCAACTTAATGGGGGGGGGAGGGGGGAAGGGAATTAGAAAAAAAAAAGCATGTCTTGAATAATACACTTGAAAGCTTTTTTGTTTCCTTTGGTTTAGGTCCCAGTGAGAAAATATGTAAAGGTATTTATACTAAGTTTTTCAGGATGGGGACGGAGGAGGTTCAGCATTGCCAGAATACTGTGGAGAAGACGGCTTTCTC